ACGACGCACTCAGCTACTGAGGCTACATGGCGTCGGTTGCCTCTCACCCTGGCAGGCAGGGCGGGCTCCGCGGGGAATCGAACCCCGTATTTCTGGCTTCCCAGAAGCGCAGCGGTTAACGCAGGCGCGTCAACCACTTCCCTTTCGGCACCCGCGCTGTTCTGGTGCAAGGGTGTTGCAGTGTTCGCGTTAGGGAGGGGTATGTGCCTCACTGATTGAAAACTTAACTTATTGTGCATGGCTTTCATTTGGATCAATTGTGGAAGGCTTGCATTTAGCCAAGTAATCAGCTTCAGTAATGGGAAAGGGTGAATTGAAGAATTATTGAACCTGAAGGTATTTACCTGTACATATAGGAAGGAAGGGAAGGTAAAACACTGCGCATAACTGACGCCGCAGTGAGAAACGCGGTTTATTGTATCACAAATGAGATCGAGCGCGAGGCTTATTTTCTACCCTTTTTTAACACTGCCACCATTTGCCATCCAAGCAAACTGTCGGCCAGTTTCAGGACACTGCAAGAACTTCACCGTTCAATGGTTAACGCGCGTGGCTCGCCTGAACGAGGTCACTGTTACGCAACGAACCGGCTTCGCCTGTCAATGGCTCCCGCGCGGGGCCAGCCACCCGCGACGGTCAATATAAACACAGACGCGTGCGAACATGGCGCCGAAGATTGATGACCGTTCCCACGAGGCGTGCGCAGCATTTCAACTGGTGCTTCAACACGAACCTAACGCGGGCACGGCGTTAGCGGACCAGGGGCTGCATTCGAGGACCACTCGTCAGAAGACGCAGCATATCGCTGTCAGTCCACTAGAGACTAGAAGCCGTATATCCGAACCGCACCAGGGTAAATGTCGCCGCATGCTCCTTATGCGCCACGGCCTATACGGCGAGCCGTAACAGGACGACCGCAGCAGTAAATAAGTGTTTATCGCGCATCATAACTACATGAATGCCAGTGGTTATGCGAGACCAGCCAACGCCGGAACCCCCATCCACCCGTGTGCGGCGACACCGTTCCCACAATAACTGGGCGGACAGCCCGGCGCGGGGGACGGCAGCAGGACTGATGACCTGTGGGCCTGTAATGACACGGTTCGTGGACGGTGCACGCCTACGCACGTGGTGTATGTGAAGGCAGTGATGGCAGCCATTTGTAACCATGCCTACAACATAAAAGTACGTTCGGCCGACGCGTAAGGTTAACATGACCGTAATATAGCTGGCTCACGTTCTCCGGTACGTTGGTCCTACATCTCTCCGCAATAAAAAAATAGCCTGCATGTAAAACTTCTTAGATTACTTATTAGCCATCTTCAAACATAGCAGAAAAATGCCTTATTCGGGCCAGAAATGCACACCACCAACAGACACCAAACAAAATCAACAGTACGTTTTTTGTTCATCTCCATACTCCCGGTTTGAGGGCCGTTTTGTGCAGCCACTTTGCGAGGAAATCATATTTCTTATCAGGTATGGAAAAGATGGCACAGCGTGGCATGGATAAGGCTACATGGAGAAAAAACAGCATTACTTATTTTGTGACTATAAATCGCGATCACACGCTCTCGCTCTCGCTCTCGCTCTCGCTCTCGCTCTCGCTCTCGCTCTCGCTCTCGCTCTCGCTCTCGCTCTCGCTCTCGCTCTCGCTTCTCGCTCTCGCTCTCGCTCTCGCTCTCGCTCTCGCTCTCGCTCTCGCTCTCGCTCTCGCTTTCTCGCTTCGCTCTCGCTCTCGCGGCTCGCTCTCGATCTCGCTTCTCGCTCTCGCTCCGCTCTCGCTCTCGCTCTCGCTCTCGCTCTCGCTCTCGCTCTCGCTCTCGCTCTCGCTCTCGCTCTCGCTCTCGCTCTCGCTCTCGCTCTCGCTCTCGCTCTCGCTCTCGCTCTCGCTCTCGCTCTCGCTCTCGCTCTCGCTCTCGCTCTCGCTCTCGCTCTCGCTCTCGCTCTCGCTCTCGTCTCGCTCTCGCTCTCGCTCTCGCTCTCGCTCTCGCTCTCGCTTCTCGCTCGCTCTCGCTCTCGCTCTCGCTCTCGCTCTCGCTCTCGCTCTCGCTCTCGCTCTCGCTCTCGCTCGCTCTCCTCTCGCTCTCGCTATCGCTCTCGCTCTCGCTCTCGCTCTCGCTCTCGCTCTCGCTCTCGCTCTCGCTCTCGCTCCGCTCTATCTCTCTCTATCTCTCTCTCTCTCTCTCTCTCTCTCTCTATCTCTCTCTCTCTCTCTCTCTCTCTTCTCTCTCTCTCTCTTCTCTCTCCCTCTCTCTCTCTCTCTCTCTCTCTCTCTTCTCTCTCTCTCTCTCTCTCTCTCTCTCTCTCTCTCTCTCTCGCTCTCTCTCTCGCTCTCTCTCCTCTCTCTCTCTCTCTCTCTCTCGCTCTCTCTCTCGCTCTCTCTCTCGCTCTCTCTCGCTCTCTCTCTCGCTCTCTCTCTCGCTCTCTCTCATCGCTCTCTCTCGCTCTCTCTGCTCTCTCTCCGTCTCTCTCTCGCTCTCTCTCGCTCTCTCGCTCTGCGCGCGGCGCGCGCTGCGTGCGTGCGTGCGTGCGTGCGTGCGTGCGTGCGTGCGTGCGTGCGTGCGTGCGCGCGTGCGTGCGTGCGTGCGAGCGTGCATGCGTGCGCGCGCACGCACGCACGCATGCACGCTCGCACGCATTATATATATATATATATATATATATATATATATATATATATATGTATACATGGATGTGTACATATATGTCTCTTTTTTAGTATGTATATATATATATATATATATATATATGCATTTGAAAAGCAATCCGTTCATGTCCGGTCTGTATGTACTCACATCGAATAACATGTCCCACATTTGCTGGCCTGGTAATAAAGCAGTCGAGCCGCGTTGGCGCACCGGGAGTTCCGGGACCACACTGAGACGGGCATGAGCCCGGCAGCAGGCGGCTTCAAAATAACGCCTCGGCTGACGGTGGCCGCTGAGATTTATTGGTGCCGAGTGTCAGCGCTGGGGCGGCTCCACTGACGGCCAGTCGTGTTTGACCTACAAAGTTAACTCACACACATTGGCCCCCAGTCACAGTTCCTCTAAACCCATTGATGATAATCCTGGATCACTTCCATCCTAATACGCGTCGTGGAATAGACTTTCCGCTGCCGAAACAAAGAAACAAACATAGTCTGCGATCGCCTTTAAAGTGTAGATTAGTACCACATTGCATTACCGAGTCGCATCAGGAAATGGGCACAAACCTGCTCCACACACCGTTGCCATGGCCGACGGACGCCGATCTCTGCTTAACGTGCGGCTCAGCGCCCGACCCATCACTACTCGATGACTACTTTCGACAGTCTTGACTTAATTATGACATAAGGCTACCAAATTTAAATTTATGTACCATAACGGTCAAAGTAACAAAGTCCACCATTGCAATAGCTGTTGGAATTGGTGCTTTACGCCGTTTGCACTCAGCACCTGAGGCCATATTGCGTCGCCTGCCTCTCACCCGGGCAGGAAGGGCGGGCACGGATACTCAGTGAAACCAATGCTCCAAATTAACCCGGTACGTTTTCAATATATATTTTCATTAGCTGGACAGTTACACCAAAACAGACGCCCTATAATCGCTTTCAATTATGCATACATCATGCCAACAACGGACAGTCGAAAGTTCAGTTCCTAATAAAAGGTCAATCATCATTGAGCTCTAGGCCTCCAGAAAAACGACGTTCATTTCAATGTCATTTCCCCCCGCCCCCCCCCCCCCCCCCCCCCCGCCTCCCCCTTGCCGAAAAGGCAAGAGGTTTGCTTATTTCCGGGCTGGTGATACCCTTAGCCTCGTCACACAATGACCCCACAGTCCATAGTCACAGTCCCGCCCACGCCCCCGAGTTATCTCGAAAGTCAAACATTCTAGAGCCAGGACGAAAGCGGCATTGGCTGGCCCAAGTGAAGCTTCGTAAAATTAGTACTGTTAGAAATACATGCAAGTGGTCTTTCGTGGGTCCGCTAGGTAACAAGGAACTAGGAAGGCAAACAGGGAAGGTAACTAGGCGGGTAGACCAGGAACCACGTCATCGGTATAAAATCGGTAAACGCAGGCCGCTGTCGTGCGTTCCGTCTGTGCCGCAACAGTGGCGGGAGAGGTACTGCGCAGCCTTGGCACACCGAACCCAACGCAGCTGGCGATCCATAAGCGCGTGCAGCCTGGCACATACCGGATCAGGTCGCCCGGGCTGAGCCTGTCAAGCGCAGGCCAATCCTGGCACCTCAAGAGCGACGCAAGGTGCGACAGCGAACCGAGCCGCGCTGAACAGCTGTGAAGTGTCCCATAGACCGACAAATGCGAGCTCTAGGATGTCGGCGCGATGGAAGATCAAAATCACTACGGTACACCTTTAATTGGCAAGCTTAATGTACCCACCTTGACCAAAAACGACTGCATGTTATACAACCGCAGCTAACATAGATGCAGAATATCGATAGAGGTACGCCGTCTAGAACGGACACTCAGGGACGCGCGCGCACGATTGGGCGTCTGCGAGCGAACCGCGTCCAACGCAACCCCAGCAGGGAGGCCAATGGGGTACCACTTTCGGGCTTCTATTTCCTTTTTACCCGCACCTTGCGGGCCTGCCGGTTTGATAATGACACATCTAGTTCACAGCAGCTGATGGCTGCAGAATCTGCAGCGGATTCTACCTAGTCCACAAGGAATGGGTGGGAGTTGTGAACGGGTAAAAGTGTGAACGGGTAAAGGCTGTGATCGTTGTCGTTTTCATCAAAATGCCAATAAGTACCATTCAGAACGAATGAAACTGTGACGAAATCGTTGTTAGGTCCTCAGGCAAGTACCTGACTGGCTGTCTGCTCGGGTACGTACCTGGATCAACACCTGACTAGACACCTCACTAGACACGTACCTAGATGGTTGCCTGGTTCAGCAATTGCCTGGATGGTTGCCTGGTCAGGCACGTATACGGATGGCTGCCTGATCCGGCACGCATCTGGATTGTTGCCCGATCCGGCACGTACCTGGATGGTTGCCTGCGCCACCAGCTGGTCGTCGGTGAAGGAGCATTCGTCGTACACCTCCAGGTGCAGGGATGTAACGCCGTGGGGTACGTAACTGCCGACAGAGACACGGGCCACGTCACCACCGCGGCGAGCCGCCAAACCTGAGAGAGGGCCGACACGGGATGACACTCGGGGAAAGACGCAGGATGGACACCAAACGAGTCGAAGGAGAGCGTCGACACAGTAAAAACCTCTGGGGTGTGGGGGGGGGGGGGGGGCACGACGGAAATGAACGGCGATTCGGGATAGATGGGGAGGGAGGTGTACGTAATGTGAGTCCCGCGGGACGGCGAACGTCAGTGGGCTCGGTACTGGACGACGCCTCGGCGCGCAGCAGCGGCACTCAAAGGAGGGGGACTACTCTACAGAGGGGACTACTCCACGGAGGAGGGACTAGCCCACAGAGGGGGACTACTCCACAGAGGGGGACTAGTCCACAGAGGGGGATTACTCCACGGAGAAAGGACTAGCCCACAGCGAGGCCACGAACAGCAGCCGGTAGTCTCTGGGTGCCGTCGTGCCCAACGGCCGCCGTCGTGAGCGCCGCCGAGAAGAACAGGAGCCGGCCGCGCCGCCGCGGTGCGGCGTAATTGACGCGGCCGTCCAAGCGGTGCCCGTGACCAGAATATCTCCCCGGCGACGGCGCAGGGATCAGGCGGAGCCGCCCGCAGCACACAGGGCGCCGCTCCCTGCGAAGGGATCAGGCGGAGCCGCCCGCAGCACACAGAGCGCCGCTCCCTGCGAAGGGATCAGGCGGAGCCGCCCGCAGCACACAGAGCGCCGCTCCCTGCGAAGGGATCAGGCGAAGCCGCCCGCAGCACACAGAGCGCCGCTCCCTGCGAAGGGATCAGGCGGAGCCGCCCGCAGCACGCAGGGCGCCGCTCCCTGCGAAGGGATCAGGCGGAGCCGCCCGCAGCACACAGAGCGCCGCTCCCCGCGATCGGACACCGCAGGCGGGTCAACACACCAGACAGGGGAACTGCGGGCCACAGGGAAGGGGGGGGGGGGGGGAGGTGGCACGCGCGGACGAGCGCGAGTGCGGCAGCCAGCGGCGTCAGTTCGGCAGCGGACGGCGGCACGTGGGCGCGTGTGTGGGGGCGACGGCAGCGGCAGTCGCCGGAGGGAGAAGGATCAGCCCCTGGGTGATAGAGCGAGCTCAGACGCCGCAACGGCCTTGCGCGGCATCGGACGACGGGTCCCGATGACGACCGTGCGGTGGATGAACCGGCATCCCATGACGTCATCGTGTGACGTCACCGCGACGCGGGCACTATTTAGCGACGACCGAACGCCGGGTTGATACATGGACAACGAACACCGCTGGGTGCCTCCAGCACTTAGAGCCTGCGCCAGCGTACAAGCGTCCGCCATTAAGCTGCGGCGTAGTGCTGCGCCAGCTTTCTCGCCTACGCGGCGTGCTGTTATCGAGATACGGCTCTCCAGAAATCTGAGAAGCGCCGTCTTACGGCTAAACGAGATTAATGGCCGGACGTCGCGCCGCCAAAAACTGCAGTTTTTGTGCAAGCTGCTCGCGGCGCTTGGAGATAGTGACAAATGCGTCACAGACTACACACATAGCGAAAATTCCCGCCATCTCATAACGGCCGGAGACAAGCAGCGGCTACACGCGTACGACGATGTCATTTAAACCAAAGCAACTGACGACATTTTGGCCGCACACTTACGCTAAGCAACAACCGTGTCTGACCCTGTGGCCAGCTAACACATGCCCACAGCAGCCTGTAACATGACACGAAGCGCCGCCTTCATCTCGCCAGCCTTTATCGCGGCACAGGATAACGCTGCGCCACAATGCCGGGATTCCGCCGCTCTCGCCAGCCGGGCCATGAGCACCGCGCGCCCCGGTCCCACTTTGTGCACCGCCGCCGCCTCCCCAGCCGCCCGACAAGGCAGCACGTCCGCACAAGCTGCGTGCCCGCCCGCCCGCCGGCGGCAACAGGGACGAACCAGCGGCTCTGGGACGCCGGCTGAGGTAAGGCCGCCGTTATGGACAACGCAGGCAGCAGGTCGAGTGCCTACGGGTGCGCAGTGGTGATTTTGACACTCCTTGCGAGCTTATAAGCAAATGTATTCGTAGCAGCACCAAACTTTGTACACAGGCACAACATGCCACCGGCTACCCGTCACTCCGTGATGAAAGAGCTGCCGTCACCTGCCGATTCCCAGCGCGCACGCTCTTGCCGACCTCCTGCTCTTGCCTTTTGCGCGATACGTACCGGCCGGTCGCAGTGATAGCAGGATAGCGGTGACGCCTCGTGTGCTTCCAAGAGCAGACCCGCCAAGCCGCCCCCGTACGCCTTCAGCTCGAGCCACACCCCAGGGACCCGTTCAAAATTGGCTATTGAAAGCCCGGTTCACGACCTTGAAGTAAGTCCATTCGGACCCTCGACGTCGTTACTTGGCTTCCTTCTGACGTCACTTCTGAAGCCCCTTCATTGCTTGGCCGAGAAGCAGTGTGTGCGGTAAGTCGCGGTTGTTTATATCTCAATGCCTAGCCACGGCCAACGCGTTTTGAGTCGTTGTTGACGGGTAAAAGTACGGCTGTCGACCGCACGTGAGTAGAGTGATGGACGATGATGTTTTTGACCACATAACCCGTCAAAAACTGTCCACTTAAATGATATCCCAGTTCGCCATAGCTGTGCTGTAAATGTCTCCATGGATCCAATCAACTGTTTCTACTGTTGTCCGTGTTTGAGCATAGCTACATTCTTCCACAGCTGCATATGACGCACTTACCTGTGATGCCACAGGTTGCTACCTCATTTGCGGGGGAGGGGCGGGTCTCGACTAAGAGGAACAAGGCCGAGGCCCTCTATTGGCGTAGCTGAGAAACACATAATTGGGGTCTTTTCCCATGCCGAGTCGGCCACCGCGCGCCCGCGGATCGTCTCGCTCCGCAATGCGCAGCCGCCCTCTTTTGGCCAAAGACCAAGTCCCTGGCCGGATGGTGCCAGCGGCGCATTGGGAACCGGCATCTGTCTATGGCACTGCGATCAGTAGCTCCATGTTGATACTGGGAGGACTGCGGGGCCGATACCCAGGAGGAAATGTCCCTTCATGGGGGGGGGGGGAGGGGCGCCCCAGACGAGTAGATTCCGCGGACGATCCTCCAGAGGCGGAAGTCGCGTCTCAATCCAGCCGACGTAGAAAGCAGAGCCCCATCGTTTGGCATCCCAGACCCACCAAACGGTGAGTTAGCCTGCATCGTGCATGATGGCGCCAGAGACCGTGTGTGCAGGCCAACCAGCCCGCGGAACATCTGTCTGGCCGGCGTCGTAAGCAGCGTGTGGTCATCAGCTGCATCTGGGATCATGATCATGATCTGGCACACTGTAATGTCAGACACACCCCTCAGTTTCTCCCTTTCTCTCTATTTAATAATTCTCTTCCGGACAACTGCTGTGAAGCCTTAGACCCAAACGGCGCGTCACAGGGCGGCACACGCCACACTCACCACATGACGGCCTTGTTCCAGCGGGGGTTGGTGGCGCCGTTGTGTAGCAGGTCTGCGTCTCGTACACGCAGTGGCCCCAGCCGCAACCGCACGTACGGGTCCATCCGCGTCAAGCCGTAGTTCTTGGTCAGCTTAGCTGAGGGCAACCGCCGCCGTCAGCACGCCGTCAGCGCCGGCCGTGCCGGCTGGCCTGAAGCTGTGGGCGGTGGGGGGACTGCGTCGGGTGGCCGTGGCGGGTGGTGGGGGGAGGAGTGTTGGGTGGTGGGGAGGAGTGTTGGGTGGTGGGCAGGAGTGTTTGGTGGTGGAGAGGAGTGTTGGGTGGTGGGGTGGAGTGTTGATGGTGGGAGGAATGCTGGGCTGGGGTGGGGGTGGGGGGGGGTGGGGGAGTGCTGGATGGCAGGAAGGAGTGATTGGATGGTGGGGAGGAGTGTTGGGTGGTGGGCAGGAGAGTTGGGGGGTGGAGAGGAGTGTTGGGTGATGGGGAGAAGTGTTGATGGTGGAAGGAATGCTGGGTGGTGGGCAGGAGTGTTGGGCGCTGGGGTGGAATGTTGGATGGTGGGAAGGAGCGTTGGATGGTGGGGAGGAGTGTTGGATGGTGGGGAGGAGTGTTGGGTGGTGGGGAGGAGTGTCGATGGTGGGAGGAATGCTGGGTGGATAGTGGGGAGGAATGTTGATGCTGGGAAGGAGTGTTGGGTGGTGGTGAGATGTGCTGGATGGTGGAGAGGAGCGTTGGATGGTGGGGAGATGTGCTAGGTGGTGGGGAGGAGCATACGGGGCTGGACGATGGGAAGTTATTGGGTGGTGGAGAGGAGCATTGGGAAGTAGAGAGGACCGTTCAGTCGCACTACATCCTCTGGCGTCCGCATCTGACCCCTACCCACATTCCATTCAGAACGGTCCACCTGTCGACTTATGGCACAGCGCGAGGGACAGAGTGGACAGACGTGTGTGAACAGTAGCGTCTTCTCACTGCCGCATTGCAAAGTAATTACTGCCACGTGTCTCGCGTGTCGTCGTGTGTCACGTAACGGGAAGCTCGAGTGCCGCCCACTCCACTGCGACCGGCAGCGAATGACAGCTTCAGGCTGGCGCACCGTACCACAGTGGTCCATCATGCCTGCTGCGTGACCGCCTCATCGGTCCACCCGTCACGGCAAGGTCGCCTGACACATGCCTGTGCGGTGATGACGTCACCGCTCTGGGGAGGCCACCCTTCACACACGGCCCGCCACGCCGAGTTCAGCCCTATGGCTGTGCAACCGTAACGCCCATGCCCGTACTTGTGACTGTGCAATGACGGCGGCCCCTTCCTACCCCAGCAATGGCGATGTTCACCTCCGAACCTGTGCAAAGACAAGGCTCATTCGTCCATATGAAACAGCATGTTTGGCCCCATGTCTGGCCAATGGCGAGAACGCCCGCCATGCCTGACAGCGTCCACACCGCACTCCTAGCGGCGCACGCGCCAGGGGGCCGTCACACCTGCGCGATGGTGAGGTTGAGCCGGCCGGCGGCTGTCTGCATGGTGGGCGCGCGTCGGCTGTAGTGGCGCTGCAGTGCCAGCGCCGCCTGCCGGTCCATCTCCTCCTGCTGGGAGCCGGCGCCGGGCGCGGCCGGACCACCCGCCGGTGCCGCCGGCTCGCCATCCGGGCACAGGAAGTCCGACGGCAGCTCAGAGATGAACGCCTGCAGGCAGAGAGGCAGGCTGACAGTGATGGCTTGATAGTCACCAAATATATGGCACTGCACATTGCAATTGCTCTGTGACATGCCTGCAGCCACCAAGTGAGCATCCGTTGTTAACCACGTGTATTTTTGAGCCAACTGATTCCCAGTTCTAGCCCAGAAAGGTTAACTGTCTTCAGACTAAAACTTATGCAAACTTAAATGTGTTTTAACTTGTCAAAACATTGGCCAATTCCAAATTTGGATACCCCTTCACCCAGTTAACAACTGGGTTGGCAAGTGCAAAAGAGTAATCAGCAGACCAGTTTGGCATGATGTGACACTGGCATCCCATTGTGGTTCCACCACACACTGTGGCCAGCCAGACTAGAATGCTACAGACCAAATAACTGAAGGTACTAAATAGCATTTTATGGGTGGAAGATCCAGAACTCACTTCCCCTTTCCTTAGGAGTCATGAATCAGCTGTGTAGGATATTGAAATAAATTGTTGTTTCTGATGCTTAAAGGGATGCATTCTACCAAAGAGCTCTATGTCTTTCTGCACTTTATTTCAAAAACCTTCTAGCAACATTAATAC